TCTATCTATCTATCTATCTATCTATCTATCTATCTATCTATCTATCTTTTATTGTGCTGATTTTAAAAGCTAACCAGCTGTAGTTATGTATCCAGTGATTACTTCTTTAGAGTTTTAGTAAAATCTGTCTTAATGATTTGTAAAATATTTTGCTAACAGCTAAACAGTGTTGACTTAAGCATTTAATGTCAACATTTAAACATTTATTGCAATAGGTACAGCTCAAAGTATATGATTGCAATGATGTTCAGCTACTACCACACCAAATTTTAGCTCATTTTCTGTCAAATGAACAGAGTTGAAGCCATTTTTGTGTTTACTTAGTATTATAAGCGATGGCAGCCATCTTGAATTGGCTTCCAGGATGTTTTTTTTCATTCAACCTTTATTTATACAGGTTAGTCTCAATGAGCCACGAGGACTCATTTACAAGAGAGACCTGTTCCACACTGAACATATAAAGTACAGACAAACAATAACAGCAAACAAAAAACTGCAGTAAAAATGCAGTTAAGATAAGAGTAGTGTATAAAACAATAAATCAGGGTGTCGTAAAACAGGGTGAAATACTAAAAACAAGAACATATCTGCCTTGATTTTTCCATTGACATTATCAAATGTTTGAAACCCATTAAAGAAGTCAAGGTGGACAACTTCAGTTCCTGTTGCAAGGTGTTCCAGGTTGCAGGAGCAGAGAAGGAGAAGGCCTTTTTGCCAAGTTCAGTCCACACTGAGGGAACTCAGTGCATCCAGGAGTTATTTTCTGAGCGTTTCACTGAAATCTGTCCGGTGGTTCATGAGGTATTTTGTTAAAAGTCAAATGAACACACACACACACACAAGTAAAAAACCTGATTGCCTTTTTGGTAGCGAGCGCTGATAACCAATAATCTGTCTCTATGTAAGGCTCTGCAGTGTCACTAAGAACACAAACTCAGGTTTTCTCCCTCTGCCTCCTGCAGGTTCCTACCCCCGCCTGTCCCTCAGCTTCAAACTGAAGAGGAACATCGGTTACTTCATCCTGCAGACATACATGCCTTCCATCCTGATTACCATCCTCTCCTGGGTCTCCTTCTGGATCAACTATGATGCATCAGCTGCCAGAGTTGCCCTGGGTAGGACTGCCTCCCCTCTATTCAGCAGTGACCCAAAGCCAAATGATAACAGACCATGAAAGGAGCCATTTAACGTTTTTACACTTCGACATGCAGCATCTATGCTTTATTAATAAGCCTGGTGTGTCGACCCATTAGTTTTTCAACGTTTACGTTTTCTCGCTCTTCTTTTTTATTGGCTCTGAGCTCGTGAGTGATAGCCATGTGTGATAGGCTGCCTGGCTGAGTGTCTGTTGTTCAGAGATGACTATATGCGTGACTCATGCAGAGCGAGAAGCTCTGCAGCCTGACCTTGAAGCGCGCTGTCTTTCTCTCCGCTCGTCTGTCTGTCGAAACGCTCCGCGTGCCCTCCCACTCCACCCCAAACCCCAAAATACCAACTTATCTGCCAAATCACAGCCGAATTACAGCTGAACGGCAAGTTGTTTAAATAAAACCTGAATTTTTCTACTCCAAATCGTAGCAGGTTGGAGCCGAGAGCGAAGTGCGATTTAAAGATGCGCCTACAGCATCCAGCGAGCGTGCAGCCAATGAGAGCTGAGGCTTCAGAGCTGCTGCCGCTGCTGGGTTATTTATAATGTGTGTGAATCTGACCACATGCAGATTGTGCAGGCAGATGAGTAATGCATCAAACACAATGTGTGTGTGTGTGTGTGTGTGTGCGTGTGTGTGTGTGTGTGTATGTGTGTTATGAAGCCAGGTGATATTGTGTTATGACTACACACAGGTGTTTACAGTGGCAATGTGATGCTTTTCGTAACAGCATGTTCTGTATCTGTACAGAAACATGGATCTAGCCTGTTTGACCATGAAACACAAACCAAAGCTGGAGGTTTTCATGGGTGGATTTATCCACATGGGCTCACGTTCCTTCAGGCGTGTTTGTTTGAAGCCATTAAATAATGTACTTGAAGCTCATTCACTTCATCCCACCCTTTAAAGACTGGCACCTGAGCTTAGTTACTGTGTGAACGCTCATGAAGCATTCACACTATGATACATTATTCTTCCGTACATTATTCTGAATATTTCTTGTCCCACAGTTTTTAACCTATTTCAACAAATCATGTATAAAAAACGCTCAGCTCTTTCAAGACAATCCTGCTATGACGTCTGATATTGGTACAACTTTAGTTTTTTTTTTTAATATTTAGCCTTTTCTGCCATTTTTTCCTCAGAAAGTTAATTGAGCTCATTTTACATCCTTCATATCTTTAGATCTGTTTACAGCCTTTTACTGCTCCTTTCACATTTTGTTCTGCTTCAGCTTCTTTCAGCTTCCTTGTGCAAATTAAAAAAAAAATAGCTATTTTCAGCTAACTTCAGCTATTCTTTCAGCTGTTTTGTGATTATTTTACAAACTCTTTCTGCTAACTACAACATTTTTGTGTTTCTTAAAAAAAATTGTAGCTTGTTATGTTTATTTCATCTAGCTTCAGCATTTTCTACTATTTCAGCTACTATATGGCTGTTTGATGCTAATTTAAGCCTTTTCCGCTAATTTCACATTTTTTGCAGTCATTTCAACTTTTTTCAGCATAAATCAGCAAAATGTGCTCTTTCTACCTCCTTGTAATTTCAGCTTCATTTTTCTTTTTAGCTGCTTTGCAGCTGTTTTTGCTGTTAAGCTTTTTTCAGCTCATTTCTATGTTTTTATGCCCATTTCTGCTCCTTTCAGCAAACGTGTTCTGTCTTTCTTTTGCTAATTTACGTTTGTTCTACCTTTTCATCTACCTTGTTAGCATTTTTTCAAAGCTAATTTCTGCAGTTTTCAGATAAATTCAAGTTTTTCATGGCAATTTTTGCTACTTTCAGCCCAATTAATCTTCTTTCTGCTAATTTCAGCTTGTTATGCTTCTTTCAGCTTTTTCTGCTACTTTCAACTTTTTTCTGTTATTTCAACTGCTATTTAGCTGTTTTATGCAAATTTGAGCCTTTTTTAATTCTAGTTAATTCCACATTTTTGGAGCTCCTTTCAGCTCTTTCCTCTGTCTTCTGGTAGTTTAAGCTTCTTTCTGCCTTTTCAGCAATTTTTGCTCATTTCAGCTTTTTTAGCTAATTTTCCTAATTTTCGTGCTCATTTCAGCTTATTTAAAACTAATTCTGAAAACGTGTTCTTTCTGCTTTCTTCTGCTAATTTAGGCTTGTTCTGCCGTTTCAGCTACATTTCAGCATGTTTTTAGCTAATTTCAGCTGATTTCAGCAAGTTATTTGCAGGAAATGCAATTTCTCTAGTTTTGATTAGCAGAGAAACAATACAGACTTGATCAACCATTTTCTGATTTTCACACAACACAAAAGTTTAACTACGTTTAATTTCACACAAGGCCAAGCACATCTGATGGAGGTGATGTAATCAAAAAATACTTTGTACATATGTGTTAAATTTGAGGATTTTTATCTCCTATTAGGCTTTTTTTTTTCTTTGCTGTGTCCGATAAATATATCTGAACTGAACTTTTCATAGTATGAATCCTGCTGTGAAAAATGCTTGCCCCCTTTATGGGATGCTTCTGTTTTTGCATATTTTGTTGTTGGCAGACAAATGTTGCAGATCAGCAAACTAATTTTAATATTGAACAAAAATACTGGAGAAAATACAAAACTGTTTGTCAAATGATGATTTCATTAAATTGAGAAAAGAGCCATCTGACCCAGCCTGGCCCCATGTGAAAAAAAGAATTGTTAAGTGATGAATAATGTGGGTTATTTTTATTTTATTTTCTAAAGCTGAGTTCAGTTTCACTGCCACACCCATGCCTGATTATTGCTAGACCTGCAGAACCAAGAAATCTTATACACTGAGTCGTTATCCACAACCAGAGACAACAAAGAACAGAGGGGAATGTGCCCAGGGATGACCAACATTACTCTGAGAGAGCGTCAAGAACCCATCCAGGATATCTCAAAACAACCCAGAACAACATCTAAAGCCCTGCAGGCCTCACTCGCCTCAGTTCAGGCCAGAGTTCATGATTTAACAATAAGAAAGAGATGAAGAGCACAAATAGCCTTCATGTGAAAGTTCTAAGAAAAAAAATGCTGATCATAAGAACAAGAAGACTGTCTCAACATCGCAATCTCGATGATCCTAAAAACGTTTGGAGAAATATTCAGTAGACTGACCAGACAAAAGTGGAATTTTGGGGAAAACATGCATCCTGTTACATCGGGTGTGAAACAGATGCCTTTCAAAAAACATTAGTCAAACATGGTGGTGGTACAGTGATGATTTGAGGCCGCTGTGCTGCTTCAAGACCTGGACAATTTGCTGTAAATGATGGAACCATGACCTCTGCTCTCTACCAGAGAATCCAGAAGGAGAATGACCAACAGTTATTTTGTGACTTGAAGCTCATTTGGGTTCTGCAGCAGGACCACCAAAGGTGATACAACCAGTTATTAAGGTTTACAGAACAAGTCCTTTTTCACTCATATAAACAAATAAGTTTTTAAAAACTGCATCTTGTATTTGCTGGGCTCCAAACACTAAAGTTCATGCTCATTAATCCAGGTATAAATCCAACAACGTTCAGTCAGGTTGGATTTATATCTGGATTAATGAGCATAAACTTTGGCATGGTCTGCCTTGGGGGTGTTGACGTGGTAGAGGACGGGCCCCAGAGGTCATCTTATCACCATCAAACTGTTTTTTTCCACTCTGGGAGTGAGCTGTTTGTGGGATTCAGTTTGGTTTGGTGGGCTCCTCAGACTGAAGAAGTCCTTCGGATGAAGGAAGAAACGTCTCAGCAACAAAAGAAACCATCTAAATGACCTGACTGAACATGGTTGGATTTTTACCTGGATTAATGAGCATGAACTTGTTAATTCACAAATCATGGCTGCAAAAGATGAAATAAAGTCCAAAAGCCTTTTAAACTCTTGCTAAAATTGATCTGCAGGGATCACCACGGTGCTGACCATGACCACCATCAACACCCACCTGCGAGAGACGCTGCCGAAGATCCCCTACGTGAAGGCCATCGACATGTACCTGATGGGCTGCTTCGTGTTCGTCTTCCTGGCCCTGCTGGAGTACGCTTTCGTCAACTACATCTTCTTCGGCCAGGGCCCCCAGCGACAGAAGAAGGCGGCTGAGAAAGCAGCCACGGCCAACAACGAGAAGCTGAGACCCGACCCAAACAAGGTAGGCGCGATCAGCCGCCTCCTCTGACGCCATCTGTGCTTTCTGCTCATATAAATGTTTGTTTCTGTGAGAGCAAATTACGTTTTCCTCCTCTCAAGGCCTGTGTGCTTCTGTAATCAACTCTTGATGTCCTTCACCAACACTCTTTACTCCAGCTCTCCATTTTTCAGAGCGTGCGTCTACAACTTCAGTCTGAAAGAGTGAATGCAGAAGCAGTCGCTGGTTGTTATAAAATACTTTGTCTCCGCATTTCTGTGTCTCTCAAAGGGCAAGATGCCTCGGGACAACAACAACAACAACAGCAAAAAAAAAAAAAAGCCCTGGCTGTGGCTTCAGAGCCTTCTCTTTAAGTTTCATTCAGCACACTTTAGAAACCACAGCGCTAAGACAAATTCAACAAATGAAGCACTCTTTCCGTCTGAGTGTGGCAAGCTACGATTTCCCCTAAGTAACAGTGCTGATTTTGTATGCTTGCAGTGGCTGGTGGGAAATGTAGTTCAAAGAGATGATGCTCTGTATGCCAGAATGAAACAGAGGGAAATTGACGCATATGACTCGATGTGGGATCCCATCTTTGTGGACGATGCCGCATTAGGACTAGGCGATCAAAGAAATAAGGTACTGGAGGTTCTGATAGTTCAAGCTGTCATCAGTCTGAATCAGTCCAGATCAGAGGAAAATGCTGTAGTTTCTGTGCATTTCTTTGATTTGTTTTTGTAGATTTTTAAGGCAACCTTGATCATCACTCCCACCATTGTGTTTTTTTCCCTCTCTTGGTTTGCTCTTCATGCATTTTTCCTGACAAACATGGCTTATTAGTTTCATTTCTGCAGGCACTGATTTAATCCAAACCGTCCGTCTGAATTGATGGAACTGACAAAGAGCCGTAGCTGCTATTAGGAAAATTTCATTAAGATAAAAAAAAAACAAAAAAAAAAACGATTCTGTGCAATCTGTTAAACACTTGATCAATCTGTTGATAATAAGTGATGCAACAGGAAATAAAGAAATAAAGAAAATCGTCATAAAGAAGTAATTTTCAGTCTGATGAATAGCCCCAGCTGTCGCACACACACACAAAAAAACACACCGAGGATGGGATTGGATTATAGAGATGCTCCTCCTCAGAAGTCAGGCTATGGATGAAGAAATGTTGATCCGAATTCACTTCTCACAACGCCTCTCCCCGACCTGCCCCGAACCTTTTAGCCCACTCCTCCATCTCTGCAGAGCCCTTGCTATTTCTCTCAACCTCCTCCTGTCACTTTTGCTTTATGTATATTTGCTTTTTCTCTTTGATTTATTTACTTTTTATTTAGTTTGTCTTGTGAATTGACAGAATTTTAACCAGAGCTTGGTTGAAATTCTGAGATGACAATGATGGTTTTTCCATGCGAGTTAGTTTGTGGAGTGCACTGTGCCCTTTTGGAAATGTTATTTTGTAGTTTTCTGCTTGTGTTGTCACCCAGATATTGATCAACTGATTATTAAAGGGCTAGTTCAGATTGTTTGAGATAGAATTCTGTGGAATGGTTATGAACAATTAATGTGTTACCTGCAGGAGATGCCTCTTTGAAAGTCCTCAAATTGAGTAAATAGTTTAATCCTGATCAGACTGATGAGCTAACGGCTAGTCAGAGTTGGACTAAATTAATTGCTGCTGTTTTAAAACTCCAATCTCAAAAGTTTTGTAGCAGTTTATTTAACGTTATTTTATTAACTTCTACATTGCAATAGTTATTAATGAGGGTGGGGCTCTTTAGGCCTAATTTGATGTTATTGCAAACCAGAGTGCTGCGATTAGAAAACAACTTTTGATTTATCTTAATTATATATCAATAAATAAAAAATAAATTTACAGTAAACACTGATTTATATATTCTCATGCCTAATAACGAGTGCACAATAGCATATCCGTTAGCATAGATGCTACAGTTATTCTTTAGCTACTATAGCTAAAGCCAAGCTTCAAAACTTTATTAGAACAAACGGCACCGCACACAAATGATCGGTAACAAATTAAATTTTTGACATTTGAAAATTGATTCAGGAACTTCCACGTTCCTAACGTGATGCACAAAGATAGATTTTAAACCTTAGCCGTGGATAGGCTTTAAATAGATGTATATGTTTGTTTGTTTTTTTTCAATGCAAATAGCAGCATCTAGACTGTAGCACTTCTGGCGTAGCCTTCCAGCAGAAATCATTTAATTTCTGTCTGGGTAACCCAGAAATATGACAATGGTTGTTGTGTAAAGGTTTATAAAATATTATTTTCCTGAACTGCTATTAAGTTTTTCATTCTAAAGTGGTTTTAAAACATCAGCAATCCACTTTGGTCTTGGCCCTGCTCGGACTAACCCATAGGCTCGTCAGTTTGGCCAGAAGGTACCTTTTAATGGACACTAATGTGCATACTCAAAATCAGTATTTTGCAATGCATTATGGTCCAGATAGATTCATACTTACTTCATTCGTATTGACTTTTATTTGTCATTTATGTATATTTGTTATCATCACTGACTATGGCCTCTTTATCTGACTTCAAACCAACAAATTCTACCGTAGCTTACGGAAGTAGGTTTGGATATATTTGGGCATGAGGTGCCTGACTACATGCACACTGGTAACCATAGAAACGTCCATTAAACTCTCCAAATTGAGGCTGTTCAGAAAGTATTCTACAACAGGTAAGATATTGTTTGTCTATACCATTGCCACAGAAACCCACTTCAACAGATCTGAGCTATTCTTTTAAATAATTTAGTCAGTGCTTTAAAAATCTTCACTGTAAGTAACACAGTTTTGACTCATTTGCATTCCTCATTTTAGAACCTCATCTGTATTTTTACACACCGAGCTGCTTAGTTATCAGAGCTTTTCCTATTTTGAGTAATTTAACTGAGTCGAAAGCATCTCTTCCTTCTCGATAACTTCTCACGGCTCCACCTGTTCTTTGCACCTTAACACAGATGACCCCCGACGACAACATCCTCTTCAGCACCATGGAGATGAAGAACGAGATGGGCGGCGCCGGGGATCTGTCCCGGGGTCTGGGAGCGCCGGGGGATCCCCGCAACACCATGCTGGCCTACGACAGCACGACGTTGCAGTACCGCAGGGCAGCCATGGCCCGGCAGAACTACGGCCACAGCGCCTTGGAGCGCCACGCCCAGAAGAAGTCACGCCTACGAAGACGGGCCTCCCAGCTCAAGGTGAACATCCCAGACCTGTCCGACGTGAACTCTATCGACAAGTGGTCCAGGATGATCTTCCCCACTGTCTTCTCCTTCTTCAATGTGGTCTACTGGCTCTACTACGTCCATTAAACCCGGTGGAGTCTGGAGGCCGGCTGGTGGTCAGATGTGAAGAAGAACGAGAAAGGAGGTTGAGGAGGACGATGCGAGAGAGGAATTGTGAGGTGAAAACAGTGAGCTGACTTTTTAAAAGCTGGGTTATTTTAAACAACACAAGGAAAATACAAAAAACCTTTTAATGGACCGCAGCAGCACCCACATCAGTCAGCTGTGACTCTTTCAGGATTTGGGAAACACCTTCAAACGACGGACGGACGAGCACTCAAAATAATGAAATAAAATTAAAAAATTACACGAGTGAGCTTTGAAGAGACAGTAACGGTGCCTGTTTCAGAATTTCAAAATATATCACTAATATTTGTCATTCGTAGCTTAATCTCTGTGGATCAAATATTTATGCTTGTGTTTGCATATACTTTGAGGATTTCTTTTGTTTAGTATCTATTTACTTCGTAGCCGAGCTGTCTGCATCCAGGAAAAGCTTTATAAAAGATTTTAAAGGAGTCATACTCGATAGTCTATTTTCCTATAATTACTGTATATCAGAAACATCCTTTAAAAGCATGCTTATGTTGGATTTCATTTGCATTTCAGTCATGGCGAAGACAAAGCATTTTAGTTGTATTCGTTGAGTTTCTTCCGTCAGTAGAAGTTTGCTGCTTTTTGGGCGTCAAAAGGCCCACCTGGGTGATCGGAGCGTCGTTGGACAGCAACAGGTGACCAGGAGGGGGCGCTCGCTCGCTGAGCGTGGAGCTTTAATTACTCATTTACTGAAAAGGTCTAAACTACATCTGATGAATGAGCAGAACGGTGTGGACACAAATTCTGCTTTCGCTGTGCTGACAGAATCAAGTCCATTCACCCGCGGGCGTTTTTTTTGTTGTTGTTTCTTTTGACTTCCTTCTGCCATCGAGAAGCTTTAGAGACAGAGACTTTAACTCAACACGAAACAGGTGCAAGAACTTCTCAGGCGAGCCTGGGTTTCATCGCAAAACAAAGCTGCTGCGTAAACATGGCAATCCACAACCATCGTTATCAGTAGAGCCGAGCGATAGAAGTAAGATGCATTTCATTGTGGTTAGGTTTCCGTTAACTGACAAAAAAAACCTGTAGATAAACACAAATCATGTTTAAAGAAAAAGAGCGGATTCATTTTTATAAACTAATATTCACATTATCGTGTAAATACTACAGATTTAGTCTATTTAAATGGCTCTTTGTTGTTGTTTTTGCAGTTAAATTACAGCTCAGATGTTCCATTCACTCAATAAAAGAAAAGATATAAACTACCTAACTTAGAAGATAATAAGACATAAATCACAACTTTGCAGACTGTAATTTTGGGACTTTTCTTTTCCTGTCTTCTTCTTTTTCTTTCTTCTTCTTTTTAATGGACTCTGAAAGCATCTACTTGCTGAAGCACTTCCAGAAACCAGAGACTCTTGGGTCAGTATTCCCAGAAATGGGATAATAAGGACCCCCCCAGTATCCAGGCAAATATTGAAGTCAGGCATATTTTGTACAAAGTTTCTGTAAATTCCAATTGTAATATTTCATAATGACTGTAAATATCTTGTGTAATATCTGTCATAAATTATGAAGATGTATCTAAATTCAATTAAAACTCGATTCAGTCTATCACTTGAACAACAGAGTCCACAGGTGGCCGTTTTCCTGTGTGAATGTGAGGCCAACGGATGGCCGACTCGGGGGGGTCTCTCGGCTCGCTGAGCGTCTGAATGAGCGAGTGAACAACCAGACTCGACGCGGGGATTGGAAGAAAGGCTAAAAAATAAATGCATGCAGGGCTGGGCAGAGATGGGAGCTCTGCAGCTGTGTGCTGCTGGCTGCTAATGGAAGAGAGGCAGAGGAGCTGAAGCGAGAGGCTGCAGTGGTGGTCTGGGCTCAACCCTCGGCCCTCGGGGGACATTAACGCAGAGAGCCCGGGATGTGGAGGCACTCTTCGGACTCCACTGTGGCCCCGTCTGGCTGCAGGGGCCAAATCGCCTGCTGCAGAAAAAGAAAGCGAGAGAGTGAAAGGTTGTGAAATGGAAAGATCCACGCAAGCCTCAACCTCTAACTGTGTCCTCCCGTCACTCTGGGAACCGTCTGCGTCTCCTGACCTGAACACGTAAATGGATGATGGTGAATATTTAATGAGGCAAACCACAGAGTATTTAAAATTGCAAAAGGAACTTTGTTCTAGCAGGAAATGATGTGCACACTGCGTTTAACTTTGAGAAGACCAGGAAGACTTAACAATACATCAAATTTACCACCATGAAAGATGAGTGTTCGTGATCATCTGTTTGTGTGTGTTTGTTTGTCTGTCTGTTAGCAAAATATCCCATGAAGCACTGAACTGAATTTCATGATACTCTCAGAAAGTAATCTTTGGATGTATGACTTTAATGGATTACCTTTAGATGTCAACTTAATTCAAGAAGGCTGCCACGGCTGACTAACTTCAGCTAACACAAAAATTGCTTTAACTCTGTCATTTTTTACACAAATTGAGTTAAAATTGAGTGTGGTAGTAGCTGAGAGTCACCCCCATCACATACGCAGAGCTTTAATGGGTCGCATGGGATTTTGCAACATTGCATTAGGTTGTGCATATCAATATTTAAAATTTTTTTTTTTTAGATTTGACCAAAGCAGCCATATTTTGGTTATTATTTCAACATAGAAAAATTATTTATAGGCCTACTTAGTCATAAAGGCAATTTCAATTCAATTCAGTTTATTTATATAGCGCCAAGTCACAACAGAACTCGTCTCAGGTCCCTGAACAGAAACATTCACATACTGTATATAAAGTAAGTTAACACTGTTTTGCTGAGGAGCAGACTGGTTTGAGTTTAACTCCAGTGCAAACACTCATCTTGTGTAAATAATGAATCTTCTTGATACACAAAAGTTAGTCATGGAATTCCTCAGGGTTCAGTGCTTGGACCAATACTCTTTACCTTATACATGCCAACAAAATAGAAGAGATGGTCTCAACTCTGCATCCTCTTCTTCCCATCACCATCTTTCCACCCTGCCCTGTGTAATTAGACCATTGAGATGGTAATGGGAACAATTTCATTAACCACAGCGTTCCACGTTTCCGTGTAAGATTTTTGCTTACATCATTTGATGATGGTGAACAGCCCCATTTGGTTGGACCACTGCAGCACACTGACTTCCAAAACAATGGCAAAACGATACCTAAGAGGTCTTTTCCCCTCTTTTAAGACATTTACTGATGCAATGAGCATCAGTTAAACATAAACAAATACATAGATACATTTTAAAAAGTAGAAAAAATGACTTAGTTATTAATGTTGACCAGCTGTGTGGCCATATTGAGTAAGACTGACTTAAGGTATTCAGCTAGATGTACATTCAGGGATGACTTTCTTAAGTTGACGGAGATTACAACTGAGAGGTACCACTCATGTTTCTGTATGTGTGTGGAAGTGTGTGTGGGGGGGTGGGATGGGTATTTCACTCCTGGGAGTAAGATATCTGAGTGCAAAAGTACCTATGAAGGCAACTTGATGTTAAAACTGATGTGACGTGACACGTAACCTTGTTCTTACATGAACTGGTTAAAATGCTCTCCGCTGCTACATAACACATGAATTACCTCACAACACCAGACAGATGGTTTGTGCTAAATTAGCTTTTTCTTTCTCTTTTCCTCTTTTCAGAGGGGGCATTAGTGTTGACGTGTAGGAGGGCGAGGGGAGGCAGATGCTTCCTGCTTTGTAGTGTTTCCATGTCACTGGCGTAATTAGGAACTCGCAGACCTCTGCTCTGTGGAGACACGTGCTCCCATGTGTGTGTTAAACTTCCAAGAGTGTATTTTATTTGTGTGTGTGTGTGTGTGTGGACTCACAGCTGCGCCACTGTGAAGTTGGCTCGCCAACCAAGCCAAACCCAGTCAGAGTTGACTGGGTGAGAGTCTGACAGAGACGCGTCACGCCACTCCCCTGTTACACACATATGTGATGGAAAAACACGCTAAGCTGGCCCGGGATGGAGGAACCCCATTGTGTCATGCGTACGCACGGACAAAATAGGAAAATACTCATTTTAAATGATGATCAATGAATGGAGAAGATAATGCATAACATTCTCAAAAATAAAATGTATGTTCTGTTTATTAAAGTTCTATAACGCTGTTTGACATTATCACCATAGATTTGTCTTTGTTCAGAAACGAATGCTCAATTAAGATTTTTTTAATGGTTTGGCAATCGGTTGTGAAAATGACGACATTTGCTAACATAAGGAAGTGGAAAGCATCCTACCTGCATGCCATCTGTGCAAAAAAACTGTCCATCTCACAGTACTGCACACGTGCACATGAAACATATGTCTGTGGCCTATTTTGCATAATGAATGTGGTCAAATTAACAGTCAAGCTCACAAAAATGTAAATGTAAGAGCTACTATAGCTGACCTTTGACCTTTCTGCAAATGCTGAACAAGCAAGCCAAAAGTCAAAACTTATTAAGATTCTTGCATCGTTGAGGTGTGTGGAAACTTGAGAACATTACTTTAGCTTCTTGGATGATCTCAGTTTGGAGAACTAGAGAAGAGTTTTATCGGACTGAGAAGCTAACGGCTAGACAAACGGGGGCTAAGGCCAAAGTGGATTGCTGCCATTGCTGCCTGCAAGGAATGGTGGCGCAGAGATTAGAGAAGGTGGGCCTGTGATTGGAAGATCGTTGATTCAACTCCCGGTGCCGACAACATCAAAATGTGGGTGGGATAGGTGAAGCACCCACACCTGCCTTTAGCCAGACTCAACCCCCACCATCTGCTCCCCCGGGCGCCCTAGAGAGCAGCTCTCTGCTCCGCACAGAGGGCTGTGGTAGCTCGGTGGTCTGTGATTGTGTCAGGAAGGACATCCGGTGTAAAAATAATTGCCAAGTCTTTGTGCGACTGAGTTCACTGTGGTGACCCCTGAAGAAGGGAGCAGCCGAAAGTAGAAAAAATAAATAAAATAAAATAATAAAATTTTTAAAAAATCCAAATGATCTATTTTAGAAATCTTTACATAACCGTCTATTTGAATTGACACAAATATTTAGAAAAAACTCAGTTTATTTTTTTGGAAAGCTAGCTAGTATTCTGGTGCAGCTTGGAGCACTTCCTCTAGGAATATTATATTTTATTGGATTCCTTATGTAATATGAAACTGTTATTTAAAGGTTTATAAAATAGTGTTTGCATGAACCACTATAATATTTTGAAGAAAGGACTTGTTTTAAGATGGCAGAAATCCACTTTTGATCTTAGTCCCACTAGACTTAGCTCCTGTTAGCTAGGTCAAAATGAAGCTGTTTCTTGTTCAAAGAGCAGTTTTCAACAGATAAGATATTAATTATTCATAAACCTTCCACAGATGTCCACTTCATGAGATCTGAACTACATTCTTAATAACAATAAATCTCTTTGCTTTATTACAACAACACAAATCTAAACAAACGTTAACATTTCTGCCTCTTTTTAGAGCTGGTTTAAGGATCTGTGGTGTGTTCAAGCAGATTCTTGTTGTTTTCTTTGAACGGTTCAAGAGTTTGAATGTCTTTAAGCTTTATAGCGCCAGTTTCCTGCGCTGGAAATATTTGACTGTTACATATTTTGTTTGCTTTTGTCCTGTAACAATAGGACTCAATGATAGGAGTGCTATTTACTTATCATCCATCCATCATCTTTACCCACTTCTTCCTTTTTGGATCACGGGGGTCACTGGTTCCCATATCCAGCTATCACTGTGCAAAAGTTGTGGGGGACACCCTGGACAGGTCACAAGTCCATCACAATGACACATAGAGAGAAATGAGACAAACAACCATTCACAGTTTAAAAATAAAACAAAATTAAATTTCACATCAGCTTATAAACTGTCATAAACAAGTTACGATTACTGAGTCTTTGTGCTACAATGTAAAAAATAATCAGCTGAGCCACTTTAGAAGTGGCACATATTTCTATAAGTGCCATGTCCCTTTTCCCTCAGCTCCAGAGACAGGAATGCAAACGCACCAGTCAAAGCAAAAAGGGCGGTCTTAGAAGAGGTGTGCTGTCACCTGTTTTAACACAGGCCTCACACACTTTGAGAGCATCAGTGCCGGAGACAACAACTCTGAGAGAGGCGCTTCTCTTGTGAGGATGGAAACTTGGTAACAGAAAGGTACGGCAAAACGTCAGGAGACGGTAGAGCCATGACTTGGAGGAGCCCTCTGGCCCTGGTGAGGGATGCTCTGCAAGGTCAGAGGGCACGGGAGAAGGAACTCCGTAGCTTGGTGTCCAACCTGCCTTGTGAGGGACTGGGGAAAGCACAGCAACCCAATCGCTTCTTCTCATCCAACGCCATCAAAACCACCAAATACTCGCTTCTGTTTTTCATTCCCATGAACCTGTTTGAGCAGTTTCACCGTCTGGCTAACATCTACTTCGTGGGCCTGGCGATTCTGAACTTTATCCCCGTGGTGAACGCCTTCCAGCCAGAGGTAGCGCTGATCCCCATCTGTGTCATCCTGGCGCTGACGGCCCTGAAGGACGCCTGGGAGGACTTTAGGAGGTACCAGTCGGACAGGAAGGTCAACAACATGCCGTGTTCCATCTACAGCAGGTATTTCACCCGGAGAATACAGATCCCGTGGTCTGTGCTGTTCATCCATGACACAACATGAAATGACACACACGCATCTGTTAGTGGTTTTAATCTTCCTGCTGGGAGCAGATCTGTGCAGTTGAGTACGTTTGTGTAGATTACCTCCTCTGCCTCCCAGCCTCCTTTGGGAGTTTATGATTTAGAGAATGTGTGGGAGATTATTCCTCTTTTGAAGAGCAACACAACAACATCTCTCGTCATCATGTTGCGCACATTTGATGAAATTCTCATCTGGGCGTTGCGTCAGCGGAGGCAGGTTAGCTGTGTGCTATTTTTGAATTACTGGTGAAAAATGAATAATTCAAAAATGAGGAGAGAGGGTTTCGTTTGCAGGCCTCGTTTTCTGCTGAGGTTTGGGAGCACAGTGGAGCAATACATGACGGAGAGGATGCAGAATTTCTGTGGACGTTTTCAACGAAGACACCTGAAGTTTAGGAAACAGCTGGAGTGCTCATGTTTACACAGCAGGTGACCTGAAGCGTGCTGACCCAGAATTTAAAACACTGACTGGTATCAGACATTAGTCACCTCTGCATCGTGCAGTCGCAGAGTGAGCAGGATCCAGAGCGTCTCCTGTGTGTGGAGGTGCTGAACCTCCATTTAAGGCTTGTTAAAAAAAACATAAATGTTCTGCTGCAGAGCCCTGGAAGTAAAACACAGGCCTGACAGATTTAGACAAGCTAAATTAAAAACAATTGTAGAAACAGGGCTCTGCCATGGAATGCAGTCAGGTGAGAGAAACTTGGACTTGATTCATCACATCTCCAGATTTCCTCTTCATCTCTTTGTTTACACAGAGGTGTGAAGAGGGTTTGAACGTATCGTATCTCGTGGGTCATCTTCAGGTTGTTACGTCTGTAAGAAACGCTCGTGAAACTGCAGCACGCTGACTGCTAACCACAATGTTTGACTAGAAAGTCCCGCTCTTGTGTTAAACTTGTCTCACTGTATTGTCTGCTCACAGTGGACCTTTAAAAACCAGTCACCACACCTCACTGGCTTTATCTGCGTGAATGGCCATTAAACACCTGCCTACACGTCACGCACGCCTAGTATCAATTAATTACATTATAATGAGAATCACTTTGCTTCTGTTAAATGATATACACTGTTGGGGATTTTTTTTTTTCAACTAAAACTTCTGCTATTTAACAATCTATTAAGTATCTTAAGTTCGAGTTTGGCTTTTATAAAAATGTACATTTATGTGATTTTATTGGTTAGACAGTTAATAAACTACATTGCAGCAGAACTGTGTAGCTTATTGCTACACTAAAACACAACTTGTAGAAATAAAATAAATTAAATTAAATTAAAAATGTTGGGAAATTTTCCATACATGGTTTTTATTAAAGATGAAGCAATTATGTTGCTATAATTGAATATAGCTCAACTTGGTCAACATGATCTTTTTTCTTTCTTGTGTATGAATCTGGTTTATTTTATTTGGATGGGTCAAACTATTTTTTATTGGTAAATGTTTATTTTTTCTGTAACTATATGTCACTTATTTTTTTATAATTGTGTTATAAAACAGACAACTTAATGGAACAAAAGACAATTTTGCTCTATGATCAAGCCCTTTGCGTTATTTGGGTCAGTCCAGCTGAATGAATGAAAGCAAATCAAACTGAAATCATACTGATAATAAAACTATAAAAACATTACAAACAAATCTGGTTAAATTGACAGCCAACATTAGAAACATTTTTATTCAAAAATAAATTATTATGTTTACCAAAGTCAACTAAAATGGCAAATTCTTTGTGGGAGAAATTAATATAATTTAAATAAATAAATAAATTAAGGCCAACATTTATATTTTTTAAATGTTCATTAAACAAAAATGTTTTTTTTTTCACGTATAAACACGTATACGTAATTTTAAACCTCAACATAGTGTGTTTCTGTTAGGCAAACATATTTCTATTTCATATTTCTGTATGTTAATCAAGCATATAGCTTGTTTTTTTTCATTTATCTTTTGTGAATCCATACCAAGAAAGCAAACTAACTAACTAAAAAAATCAAATACCCTGAAGCCTGTGTTTCTCTGAGCAGTGTCTGAAGACACAAAACTGTAAAAACAAAATAAAAATATTAATTTTGAATCACTCTGATTTAAGCACCTTTTGGGCCAGTATTAACTGTGAAATTGCAACATATTGCATCATGCAACTTGTTTTGTTATACAAATCTAAAATGTCTTATTTAAGTCCCATTGAGTGCACAGCTTTGTCGCATTCCTGGGATGCCCATTTGTTGTTTCTCCGGCCAGTCACAATTTAGTCTCAATCGTAAGTTTCAACTACCCCTGAAGTTGTGTCACGACTTCTGAAGACTATTTGTTTTGTACATTCTTTGAACATATTTAAAGCTCCAGACACATGAGGTCCTGCAACCTGAGTGTGAAAACTGAGAACCTTCAAAAACATTTTGAAACACCTTGAAAACTCACTCCCAAATATTCTCAATGAATCAGAACATCCTTGTAAAAGTGTTTAATAATCTCAGTGATTTTCTTTCCTACTACAATAAAGGTTAAATGTTTATATATATATATATATATATATAT